AGGAAGCATCTTGGTGAGGAAACGCAGCACTCCCACTCTCTGCCTGCTCCACGTGAGGAAGTCTCCACAGACAAAGAGATGGCACTAAAACAAGAGACACGTGTGAAGACAAGACACCAGAGGACACGTGTGAAGACAAGACACCAGAGGACGCGTCTTGGTGAGGAAACGCAGCACTCCCATTCTCGGCCTGTTCCATGTGAGGAAGTCTCCGCAGACAAAGAGGCAGCACGAAGACAAGAGACACGTGTGAAGACAAGACACCAGAGGACGCGTCTTGATGAGGAAACGCAGCACTCCCACTCTCTGCCTACTCCACGTGAGGAAGTCTCCACAGACAAGGACAGGGAAGACAAAAGGATGCTAAACCACACAGTTCCTCCTCAAGATGGTAGAGGTTTAAGATCTAGGAGTAGGAATAAAGTAAGCACAGACCCAGAGGGACTTCAGAGCGTAGCTAGTTCAACAGAAACAAAACGCACCAAGAAAGTCACAAAGATGTCTGTTAAAAAAAGCCGTCAGCAGGAAGCAGCAGCAGCCACTGAAGCAATTCCATGTTCGAGGCCTGGAAGGCGAAATAAGGTGCCTGTCACCACTACCAAGATGCAAGGGTCTGATCCTGAGCCCAGTACAGAGAACACCTTGGAGAAGAGTGCTGAGGATCCCTCCGGGAAACTCTCAGAAGATAGAGTCACGGTGCCGGGAATTCCACCCTCAAGACTGAGATCTAGAAATCAGACAAAATCAGTGGCAGAACTTTGTAGTAAAGAGATACCAACCAAAGAGCCAAGCCATAAGGAAAGTGATATCAAATCACTGCAAAGAGCAACACGTGCTTCCAAAAGAGGCATTTCTGAAGAAACAGCTACCAAAAATCCAAAGCAGGTAAGTAATTTACTGTTTTTCTTTTTGATGAGCATAGAATGTTTTGATGTATTTTAGCCCCATGTTGCAAGGGGACAAAGCAAACACATTAGTCATGTGCTGCATAAGGTCCACTGGGGCAATGTCTGACTGCATATACATCTGTGGTCCCACACGCGCCCTCCGGGTGATGCCCACAGCCCGACTCAGCAGTGAGGCCTCCTTGCCACCCCTCACCAGTAGAAACAGGCACTCCTGCTGCTAGAAGCACTGCTCACCAGATCCTGTTCCTGAGCACCCTATCCTGAGCACCCAAGGTGGGCAGGCATTGAGGACCAGCCGGAGTGGTGCGCCTGGTTGCTGAGACTGCTCCCCTGCTGCCTGGCCCCTGCCTGGAGCTTCCTTGTCATGACTTTCACGGGGCTGCAGGGCAGCGTACCAGGCAGGACGTGGCCGAGTGCTCACCTGAGGTGTGCCCCACAGAAGCCCCCTGGTCCAGGTGCCCAGGAGCCCAGGCCTTGCTGACCCAGGTGTTCCCACAATGTCCAGATCACGTAAGTCCCATTTCACAGAACACATGGGCGTTAAGTGACACATGACTATACGTAATACGCTGCCAGCTCCCAGTTATACCATTGGAAGATACACATATAACTCGTCTTCATAGCTGTATTTTAATATATGTTTTAGGAATTCTACTTAAAATAATAAACCCACATTACAAAGACTTGACTCAGGAAGCACTAGGACCTTATCTAGTTACTGCATTCTGACAGCTTATGTTGTGCCCCTTACGAAGACTAAGCAGTTGTCTTCAGCCTCTAGTTCCATTAAACTTACCGAAACAGAAAAGTGGTTATGCCTCGATGTCAGAGGACAGTCTTTGAAAGCTAGAACAAACAAGTCAGAGGTGTCCATGAAGGAGCTAGTACTGAGTTTGTACTGAGTAGGAGTGCTTGTGTCCTTTCACTGCCCCCACCCCCACCTCAAGAACAGTTAAGCTAAAGAACTATAAGTGCTATTAAACTAATATCAAATTTAGCAGCACGTAATTGTCTATCATTTGAATAAATCCATAGGGCATGATTAAATTCTGTTTGCATTCTTTTTAGAGTATCTGATTTAGCTACATTAAAAGAAAAATAGGTTGAACGATTACCTTTTAGCATGCAAAATTTGGACCTATAATTACAATTTTCTGAGCTCAGTAGATGAAACTAATGAGCAGTAACTTCTTCAGATATCAGAATTCTGGCACCTCCAACTGTCCTAACCAGCACAAACTCTAGAACAAGCTAACGCTGCCAAGAGAGCTAGAGCTCCACAGATCCTCCACCACAACCACAGGACATGACAGACAGGCCAGCATGCTAACCAGGAGGACCACTGACTAGGTGAAGGCAGGGACTTCTAGCAGGGAGGACTAACTGCATGCCAGAGAGAGGAAAGAGAGGCTCAGAGAAGCTGACCCATGCCTTGGCAGATGTCACCAGGGGCTTGCTGGAAGCAGAAGACATTGTGATAATGGCAAGACATGTTCCTAGAGCCCATGGGCACATCTGCCCTTGACGTTGTTAGCTGCCGTTGAGTCAGTTCTGACTCATAGCGACCCCATGCACAACAGAATGAAACACTGCCTGGTCCTGTGCCATCCTCACAATCGTAGTTATGCTTGAGCCCATTGTTGCAGCCACTGTGTCAGTCCATCTCACTGAGGGTCTTCCTCTTTTTCACTGACCCTCTACTTTACCAAGCATAATGTCCTTCTCCAGGGACTGGTCCCTCCTGGTAACATGTCCAAAATACGTGAGACAAAGCCTCACCATCCTTGCTTCTAAGGAGCATTGTGGCTGTACTTCTTCCAAGATGGATTTGTTCATTCTTCTGGCAGTCCATGGGATATTCAATATTCTTCGCCAACACCATAATTCACAGGCATCAATTCTTCCGTCTTCCTTATTCACTGTCCAGCTTTCATGTGCATATGAGCTGACTGAAATACCATGACTTGGGTCAGGTGCACCTTAGTCCTCAGATGACATCTTTGCTTTTTTTTTTTTAAAGATGTCTTTTGCAGATTTGCCCAATGCAATATGTCGTTTGATTTCTTGATTGATGCTTCCATATGTGTTGACTGTGGGTGCAAGTAAAATGAAATCCTTGACAACTTCGGTATTTTCTCTTTTTATCATGATGTTGCTTATTGGTCCAGCTGTAAGGATTTTTGTTTTCTTTACATTGAGGTGTAATCCATATGAAGGCTGTGGTCTTTGATCTTCATCAGTAAATGCTTCAAGTTTAGGTTCCACATGAGCACAATAATTAAGTGTTCTGGAATTCCCATTCTTTGCAATGTTATCCATAATTTGTTATGATCCACACAGTCGAATGCCTTTGCATAGTCAATGAAACATACGTAAACATCTTTCCATTATTCTCTGCTTTCAGCCACAGTCCATCTGACATCAGCAATGATATCCTTCGTATCAGCTTGTATACCACAAAAGGAAAAAAAAAAAACCTGCTGTCATCAACTCAATTCCAACTCATAACAGCCCTATAGGACAGAGTAGAACTGTCCCATAGGGTTTCCAAAGAGCGGTTGGTGGATTCAAACTGCCAACCTTTTGGTTAACAGCTGAGCTCTTAACCGCTGTGCCACCAGGGCTTCTTGCTGATATAGTTATATTATAACCTGTGATGCGTACCTCATGCTTTACTATCTTCTGACCGAGCAGGTGGTCTGTAGTTCAACCTTTTCCTGATATTCAGCTGTTATTATGAACATCTGTGCTGCACTGTATAAGGTGTGGCCTTCAGAGGCTACGGAATTCCAGCGAAGTCTTAGATTTTTTTTAACTCTTGTCTCTTTCTAGCTCCCCCTCCTCCCACCATCAGTGGTCACTTGATAAAAGTGGTTAGTGTGACTGCTGCTACAAGTGTGCCTGGTGTCACAGTTCACTTTTTCTGCCTTGCTGTCTGGTTGGGGAGCAAACACCTGAGGGGCTCGCTGGCAGGTAAAGTGCATGCACCCTCCTGCTTTGGGGCACCCATTTTGGAAATCAGAAGTCTCATCTTTTGTTGCCTTTAAATGTTACCTAACTTTCTAGATGGATGAGCCTGCCAAGTAACGAATATCTAGGTAAATAATGCATACTAGGTTTCAACCAATATGGGTTAAAATGGAAAGTTTTGCTACATAAAAGCTATCTTAAAAGTGAACTCAGTTGGAATACCTCTGACTTCTCCCAGCTGCTCACAAGACGACACTAGCACAAGGGCCCCATGTGGGTGTCTGTTCCTTAATCACACTCTCATGTGACTCAGTGACGGTCCACTTTGTAGAGCTGGTTTGATTTAGAAGACCCAAAAGATTTAGTGCTGATGATTCTCTCTACATTTGAATTCACTTTTTCTTGGTGGTATTTTTAGTGTACATTTGTGTAGAAACATTCTTGTATTATGTAGTAACATTAGAAAATAGATCACAAACTTTTCTATGAAAAGATACAATACTAATAACATTTAAAGACAAAATAGTAAAAACAATTAAGGGAAAAAAACCCACTTTAACAGGAGGTATCTTAAAACTCATTTCCAACCTCAGAATTAAGTTTATGGAACTGAGGACTCGCATGATACCTAGTAAGAAGTTGAGTATGTGGTTTTTGGTTTTTTGGTACAGCAGAACTGATTACAAAGTTGTTCTCTTAAATTACTTACGAGTTATATTTCTCTTCCCAAACAGGATAAGAACATCATACCAACAAAGAGAATGAGAACTCGAAGATACCAAGGCAATGAAGA